TTGGACAATTCACACAATATCTTTATAAATTGTAGCCTATGTGTTATTCTGATGTATAAGCTATATTATTGTAAAGTTACATTAAAATCCATTGAGTAGTTTTTACGTGAAAGAGTAACAAACATCCATCCATACTTACAAACTTTCGAGTTTGTAATTTTATGTAATATTAATAGGAAGTTAATATTAAAAATTAAGTCTATGCCAAACCTCGAGAAACAAACAAATAAAAATGACATGAAAAGATATTTCTATTTAAAATTAAAAAAACATCTAAATCAGGTACTCTGTTGGCGTCCAGCCAATATGAGAGCTCACGCATATCAATCATAGAGACTGATGGTAACGACTGAGAATTATTAAGAAAAAAATAACTGAAAAAAACTCTTTTTCCAGTATTTTACATCCAAATTACAATGTCAATTATATAGTCTTAGATTTCGATTATACTCTTTCAATTATCTGTCGGAGATAGTTTTATTACCTAGAACCTAACAAATACTTGTACAGAATAGTATATAGAATAATTGAGACTGTATAAAAGGAGTTTTTATTTGCGTTTCATTTCATATTTTTCGATCTATGAATCTTGAATCAGTTTATAGTTCTGATAACAATTGGCGCCATTACTTAGAAATATTTTATTAGTTTGTAGTAATTTTATATTTTTAATTCAGATGCTGGACGAAATAGACGTAACAGTTTACTAATTAAGTATTATCAACAAAGATAATAGTAAGTGAGTAGAATCTTACATGTATTCTATTCATAACTACGTGTTTATTTATTAAAATAGATCAACCAAAATAATCTATAAAAACAAAGTCGGGTTAGCATTTATAACTCGACTTTATTTATAAAATTTATTTTGTTGGATTTTTATTTTAAAAATATATAGATAAAAGATTGAATGAAAGAAAGAAAGAAAAAGAAAAATGAATTGAAATGTAAATAAAAATATAGGGAACAAAAGACAATTTCATTTGCTTCGACATTCTAATGTCAAATGCAAGATTACTTTATTCAAGACATTTTTTTTTTCGCTTCATCTATGTTATTAATAAATAATTAATAGCTGAAATATATGTAAGCAAGACTTCCGAACGACTACACCAAATTGGATAATTATTTTCATTTGTTCGTTATTTTCAGGACAAGGTTTGTATAATATATTTTTTTAAACTAACAGATTATTATTTTCTTATCTGATAATATTATAAATAAGTGACTGAATCACAAGGAGAGATCCTCAATAAATTGACAAAATCATTTACTGAGGAAGACTATCGAAGATCACGTAGCGATCATTAACAACAAAATAATACACCCGCCGGCAATGCCTCTTATAAATTTTCGGATGAACCTTGTTGTTCAGCTGGTCTCATGAAATTCCTCACCAGTAGGTGACGTCAAATGACACGTAGTTACCACATTGTTTATTACAACACATTAAAAGCTATTTATGTTGTGCCTCACATTACTAATTTAAACATATTACTTTCTGTTTATATTATTCAGATTAATATGAAGTTTAGTTAACTCATAATAAGTATCACTAGTATGATATTCTTGGGTGTAATCTAGATAACGACTCGAAACAAATTCAGTGAAAATCTGTGATAACGACATCGAAGGGACTACTCATATTTGGTCGTAAAACCAATAGTCGTAACAGCCGATGACGTTGTTATTAAGTAGTTAATACAATAGAATTCAGCCGGGACCTTTACTTTTGGTCAATATAATCGGTATGTTGTTCTAAACGATGTGTCGTAAAGAGGTTTGACCAGTAATCTGTTAAAGTTTCAAATTAACATATTTAAAGGATAAAAAGAATGCTTTCAGACATCAAATGAACAAAGATAGGTTTAATAGTTACTGCAATTCAATAGTTTATTCTGTTTTATATTTTTATAATTTCATAATATTCCTAATATTCTCTGCTTAAAACGCTTACATCATAGATCCATCATAGGAATTATAGGAATCATAGGAATTGTGCACTACTGCATAATTCCAGTAATACGGAAAATTTTAAGTTTTTTATAAATTGCCAAGGTACTAAACAAATTAAAACGTGAAGATTTCAAAAGAGAAACCAGTGTTTCTGAAAGTAAAAAATAGTTCTCATCGAAGTAATTTAAACTAAAAAAAGTGTCAAATCCGTCAATTTTTTTAATTCTTTCTCCTACTAACTATAGGCAACTCACAAGCAAAACCAAGATGCTGTGCGTATGTAGTGAGTGTATCAATGCATAATATGTGATGTTGCGATGATTCACAAGCGTTCGCGACGAATCTATTTTAATACGAGATAACATCTTACACTGACACCCTTTGGATTTCATTATTTTTATTCATATTTAAACTTACATATTTTACAGTATAATTTGCAAGTCATTACTCGAATCTTGTTATCTTGGATTTAAAATAGGACATATAAACGAAAAATCGCAAATATCCTTTACTATCGTCCTACAGGGTTTCAGGGTTGCCTGATGTAATACAGACTTTCTAGCGAGAATAGACTATCCAACACCAATAGTTTTCAGTTCGAGGCAAGGTGATACGCCTGTGGCTACCAATCTGAAACAATTATCATTTTACCGGAATTCGAACGGGTTGTTCACCGTTAAACGCAAAGATATGAGAAAGATGATATACCATATGAACGTATATAACTACGAGTATTGTTATTCTTCCTTTATATTAAATATATATTATAATGAACAATGAATCTTAGAACTTAGAATTTTTTATAAATACATATATTCTTTGTATATTTTTTGTATTTGTATAGGTGAAACTGTGCTTTGTGTATGTTTAAATGTGTATTCTGTTTTTGGCTTTTGTGTACAGTGTAATTGTTTAGTAAGTAGCTGTAGGAATACCGTTGAGCAAATAAATAAATAAATATTATGTTAAATAATTTCTGTATTAGTAATTTCAATAAAACTCAATTTTAAATAGATACGTAACTTTAATGAACTATAACGTTTTCATTAATATCGTAAAGTATCGAAACACGATTATCGTCTTGAAACAATTAAACCAAATACCTATAAATGCCTCGCAGTAACATTCAAATCTAAATCTCATTCACCTCATTTAAAAGTAATAAATGTACAGTTCTCCAGATCGATATATTCCCAAGACTCAACACATGTCCAATTTGCTTTATCAATGTAGATTTTATGTTCATGATGTTTTATGAAATTCCTACGTTGATGTAAAGCGTATAATTAATAATAATTATCAGATTATTTCTTGTAATCCACGATGTAATTCGTACTTGATATTAAACGTATTTTAATTAATATTATGAAACAAATTAGTATAATTAGTATAATTTGATTGCAATATATCAAATCTTATGTGTATTCGGAATTCACATTACATTGCTATTAAAAAAATACATATTTGATTTATAATTATAAATGTCCTACGCTCGTAGCGAACGTAGCACAGCTGTAGTTACGGTTTGGACCTCTAGGTAGGAAATTCCATCTTTGTGTTAGCTATTATATATAGCGACTTAGGGTCCTTCAAGAAAAGAGCGTACCAATTCTTAAAAGGCCGGCAACGCATGAGCCTCCTGCCCGTATGCCCCTCGTTCTATAAAAAAAATATATTATATCTATTATAAATTATCTAATTTCGTTGATTGTAAATTCTACTTATGTATAAAGATAACGTCATAAGGGCTCCCTCTATCATAAATTACAGCCTTGCTTTAATTATAAACAATTTAGTAAATATCATACATAGTGCCGTGTTTTATATGACGATAAAAATTGTGAAATGTGAAATAAAAATGTTTAGTTTGGTTTCTTTATTTGTTTAATAAATGACCACTACATATAGATGTAGGTACATTGGCTTTTCCTTAAAAGTATGAGCATTCCAAAAGCATACATATTCTTAAGTAAATGAAAGCGTCCCGCTGGTACGAGCGCCGTAGAGCGAGTGAAAGCTAAGCTCTACGGCTCTGTATAACGTGGCTGGGAGGCGGCATCCGCCTAAAATGGGGTGATCCGGAGAGCTGGTGTCGTGTTGCTGGTATAAAAAGCAAGAAGGCGCCCCGCCGCCGGTCAGAACGGCTTCAAACGTAAGTGCGCACGCTTCTCTATCGTGCGAGTGCCAGTGCTATCGCGAGTGTAGTGTGTCACGTGACCTCGTGTCACCTGTGAGTGTTGTTGCTTGTATGGTGATGGACCTGTTCAGTGACATGTGGACAACTTTCACGGAAATCTGATCGTCATAAATCAAACATAATTTTTAAAGTGATAAACAAGCCTGTAACGAGGTTCGATTCCTAAACCAGGTTGAATGGAAATAGCTTTCAATTGTAATAATATGTCATTATAAATTTTTAATTGCTAGTCTATATTGATTGCCTTTCCCAAAGCAAATTAAAAGGTATAATTTATACTGAAAACTATTTAATATTAGAAAGCTTTTATATATAAACGTATAATTTAACTTTAAATAAAAGTAAACACTTATACGAGGATTTATAATTTCACTCAAATTTAAGAATATACATTTTTTTAAAGTTAATTGTTAGATTAAAAGCATTGATCTATTTCAAGTATAAACCTATTACAAGACATTACGATATAAATAACATTTGTGCGGAAGTAATAAATTAAAATCGTCGTTATCGATGTCAATCAGAATGATCAGATCAGAATTCTTGAATCGTCCATTGCCATAAAAGCGAACAACAAACCGCGGTCGGGTTATCGGGTTGGCGGCGCTCCAGGCGCGCATTCCTGTGACGTAACATCCGCGAAGGGCCGCGTAATCCAATAAAAACGCGAGCAACAGCATATTACGCAAAGCGCTCGCGCTGGCACCTGGCACGCGTCCAAACGGCTTGTACTCGGGTTACAGCCGCAAATAGACGCGTACTTTATCTAACCGATCTTTCCCGCAGGAAGACTCCAGGGCTCTGTTCTCGTGTCTCAACTAGCCCAAAGTCTCGATAGCCCTCCGAAATGCCGAAGCCAATTGTACAAGAGGGTGAGGACCCCGATCCGACCCCATACCTGTTCGTATCACTCGAACAGAAGCGCATCGACCAAAGCAAGCCCTACGATGGTAAGAAGGCTTGCTGGGTACCAGACGAGAAAGAGGGCTTCCTACAGGGAGAAATTAAAGCCACCAAGGGGGACCTGGTGACCGTCAACCTCCCTGGAGGCGAGGTAACTATCTATCCGTCTACCTTACTTATAGCTAATGGTACCTAACTACCTTGACCTTTAACTTTGATAAAGGTATCACTGAAACCATTAGCTGTAGGTAGTGGTTGAAATAAAATATCTGATGTTAATATTAACAATATATTAGAATGAAAACCAAACTCTTGATTGTGAACCTCACATTGGATATTGGTTCTATATAAAATCAAAATCGATTTCAAATGAAATCTATTCAAAAAAAAAATGTAAAATTAAAAAAAATCTTTGAAGGGCAATTCTTAACTGTTTTATTAAACGAGCAGGAAAAGACCTTAAAAAAGGAGCTAATCTCACAAGTAAACCCGCCTAAATTCGAGAAAGTCGAGGACATGGCTGACCTTACGTACCTGAACGACGCCGCGGTCCTTCACAACCTTCGACAACGATACTATGCGAAACTTATCTATGTAAGTAGGCGCCAAAGGCGCCATTACCACTATCTTATAATTGATAAATATTCTTCTCTCGCAGACAAAAGACTTCAAGAAGGACTTTGTTACTCAAGTGAACCCGCCTAAATACGAAAAATGTGAGGATATGTCCAACTTGACATACCTCAACGACGCTTCCGTTTTGTATAACTTGAAGCAGAGATATTACCATAAGCTCATTTACGTAAGTCGGCCAGCAAGGAGTTGCAGCGTTGCAGTGTGCATGATCTCCTCCCAACACCCTTCACCTTTTTCCCCAAATGCCGGTTACGCAAAGTGGATACTATTGGGTATCTGCTATTTATACAGTCTAGGTTGTTCAATTGGAGCTCTGTTTATAAATAAATCGACATCTCTGAAGTATCTATTTCTAATCTGTTAGATGTTGCTCCAATTTTAGAGTGTTCCATTTCATTCATAATATAATTCATAAAATCAGCACTTTGCAGACGAGAACACAATTATTTGATTACTATTATATCATATACTACTATTGAACAATTATATTACCTATGTAATTAAAAACTAATATAAAAAAGGTAGAATTTAATAGTAATAATTATCAAAATATGTAGATAGTTCAAGTATAAAGGAGAGACTATCAAAAAATGTTTACCAAGAAAACCGACATTCCTTCCATTACCACTCAGAACCTTGCTGCCATCGTTAAGGCCGATCTTGAAACCTCTTACTCAGGACAAGTCGGCGGGCGCGCATCGCGTCACCACATCGTGTCACTAACACATTTTTTTAGAATTTAGTTCTATGTTGTATCTAATCAATCTTTAAGGTCAACTGGAGCAAAAGGCATCGAAAAATGTCCAAGCTCGATCTTTTCTATATAGATTTTTTATCGTTCATAGAAATTTCCATTTTGCTAAAACTAAATTTAAACGTATGACCAAAGTATTGGATAAAATAATACAAGTGGAAAATTCTATGATTTTTTGTACAGCGGAGAAAAAGTATTAGTACAGTACTCTCTCGGCGACGATTTAAGTTTTACCAGTGTTTGTTTTTAAGTATTATAAGTAAAATTATTTTAAACAGCATTTTTGGTAACTATTGTGTGTTCGATCACACCGAAAATAACTAGTAATGGGTGAGAATAATATGAAAACCAATAAATAATATTGACAATCATGAAAAACCCTGCCCTGTTAATATTAGTTATCAAAGATTCTTATTAATAATAATTATCACGCTGTTCAAAGAAAAAGTATTAAACATATATAATAAAAACAAGAGCATCATATTATTTATTTAAAAAAATATTATTTGTCTTACCTATTAGCGTGATAATTGTTTTAAGTTCTATAATGAATATGCATTTGACCCTTGTTAATTCGTACAGACATACTCGGGTCTCTTCTGTGTGGCTATCAACCCTTACAAGAGGTTCCCCGTGTACACGACACGATGTGCCAGGCTCTACCGAGGCAAGCGTCGCTCGGAAGTGCCACCCCACATTTTCGCCATTTCCGACGGTGCTTACGTCAACATGTTAACCAACCACGAGAATCAATCTATGTTGATTACGTACGTATTATTTATTTCTGATATTATATATTTTAATTGTTTATTTAAAATATCAAATATTCAGTCAAAAAATATTATGACTAAATAATAAATGTTCATAACAATTCCATTGAATAAAACATTTAATTAATTGTCAATTTGAAAATTATCTTGCGTTCGATTGTTTGTGTAATAAGAAAGAAAACTTTCGGTTAACAGCGGTGAGTCTGGTGCTGGTAAGACTGAGAACACGAAGAAGGTAATTGCGTACTTCGCGACCGTTGGTGCGTCGCAAAAGAAAGACGAGAAGCAGGAGAAGAAGGGCTCTCTTGAGGACCAAGTCGTACAAACTAACCCTGTACTTGAAGCCTTCGGTAACGCCAAGACCGTCCGTAACGACAACTCTTCCCGTTTCGTAAGTATTTTTTTACGATTATCGACTTAGGGCCTTCTTATAAATACTTTTATTACAACACAAAATTTACTGTTGATATAAAATAATCAAATTATGATTTCGGTACTCTCCAGGGTAAATTCATCCGTATCCACTTCGGACCATCAGGAAAACTGGCCGGAGCTGACATTGAAACTTGTAAGTATTGCTCTTATAAACTCTCTGACTCTAAATAAATTTAATTAAATCGCAACAATATATGTCTAAGATTAAATAAGTTAAATTTAAATAAAATATAAAAATACTTTCAACAAAAGTTCTGCATTTTTGGTCTACTAATATGCTCTTATTAATCTGCAGATCTGCTGGAGAAGGCTCGTGTAATCTCCCAACAGGCGCTGGAACGTTCTTACCACATCTTCTACCAGATGATGTCCGGCTCCGTTAATGGACTTAAGGGTATGCGTCCTCTTCCAGAAAGAACCTGAATCTGATTTTTAATCAGATAACTATACGTAGTTCAAGGCAGTTTTTGCCGAGCACCACCACATTGTGGAACCATCCCACTGAAGTATTTCCGAACCAATTCGACTTAGGGCCCTTCAAGAAAAGAGCGTTCCAATTCTTAAACGGCCGGCAACGCACTTGCGAGCCCTCTGGCATTGAGAGTGTCCATGGGCGGCGGTATCACTTACTATCAGGTGAGCCTCCTGCCCGTTTGCCCATTGTTCTTTAAAAAAAAAAGACTTCTTCATATTAAGATATTTGAGATTACAATTATTATTACTTTAAAGAAGCTAGCCCTCTGAAACAATGGTGGAATAGGTAAACATAAAAGTTATATGATATAAGCTGTGGTTCGAATGCAACACATAGGTTGCAAAAATTTAATTGAATAATCATCAAAAGTAATAGGATTTATTTTCTATAGGTCGTAGAAGTTAAATTGAATGTTGAAATAATTAAGAACGTGTATTAAATAGTTACTGTTACATAAATACACTCACAGAGCCCTATTTTGTACAAAACCATTAAATACACATATCCTCCTAAGTTGTGTATCGAATAGTATGAATAGTTTATGTATCTATGTGTGACCCCTATTATGAGTAATTAATTTACATATTATTTGGATTTTATAATATAGCCATGTGTTTGCTGTCCGACAACGTTAATGATTATCACATCATTGCGCAAGGAAAAACTACAATTCCCAATGTTGATGATGGAGAGGAATGTGTACTGACCGATGTAAGTGTAGCCCAATCCAAGAGAGAACTGGCGCGCCGCATATAACCGGCAGCCGAATCTCGACCTATAACGGAACGAGATATCCTTTCATCTGTAGTACTCTTGGTGCCCGATAGCATGCTCTACTCTTCCCATTACGTCCACACCAATTCTTACTTGACTGTAATTGGTCTCCTTTTATAGCAAAATGTCTTTTGTCCAACGACATCATGGACTACAACATCGTCGCCCAAGGAAAGACGATCATCCCTGGCGTTGATGATGGCGAGGAAATGAGACTCACAGACGTACGTCCAGATTATGACTACTGGCTCGTCACATGCCTTTCACTCATTATTCAGCTGTTGCTTGCTTTGCTTGCGATTCTCTGAGTCGCCTGTGTGCTTGTTAGTGTCTTGAATCAGATATTCAGTTTTTCATTAATACCGCAGAAATGTATTAATATTATAGAAAATCTGATTCAAAATTCTGACAAACGCACTACGCCGTTAATGTAGCGCAGGTTGTTCCCCAATTAGAGGTTTTATATTGTCCGTACACCGACACAGACACAAAACAGACTGCTAGGGAGCTAGGCAGGTTATATTATCAGAGGGAACTCTATGAAATGTGTTTATCATAAATTGTTGACCGGCAGAAATGTGTATGTTGTCAAACGACATATACGATTACATGATCGTGGCACAGGGTAAGATTACCATCCCCAACGTCGACGACGGAGAGGAATGTCAGTTAACAGACGTAAGTTGTGACCTCTACCAATCGAATGACCCCAAGAAGTTATGTAGCCCCGTGATGCTCGTGCCCTTTAGATGAGATTTGATCCTTATCCGAATATCGGATTAAAAGAATATTTATTTTGAAAACCTGATTGATATCTGAAAGCCCCAAGATTTGTCAACGATTGATATGATATTTAAATGTTACCTCTACACTGTGCTCAATACCGAATCCTCATAGCTTTTGCTCTTTTAATGCTTTAACTCAATAATACTGTTTTACTGCTATATCATCATTCTGAGTGCTAATTTTAATGAACTACAACCATTTAATTTATAAATTAACAAAGTTTTAATACCTAAATATCGATAATGTTACCGCTTATGACAAAATCTAATAATTATGTTCTACTGTAGCAAGCCTTCGACATCCTGGGTTTCACTCAAGAGGAGAAAGACAATGTATACAAGATCACAGCTGCTGTCATGCACATGGGTGGTATGAAGTTCAAACAGAGGGGTCGTGAGGAGCAAGCTGAGGCTGACGGCACTGAGGCAAGTAGAAAATGTTCGACAATAAATACCTCATCAACATCATAATTGAAAAGTTCCCACGATTGTAATATTTCCATTTTTCTCATAAACAGGATGGTGAGAAGGTCGCTAAGTTGTTCGGTGTTGACTGCCCTGACCTATACAAGAACTTGTTGAAGCCCCGCATTAAGGTCGGAAACGAGTTCGTAACCCAAGGTCGTAACAAGGACCAGGTTACCAACTCCATTGGTGCCCTCTGTAAGGGTGTGTTTGACAGGCTGTTCAAGTGGCTCGTCAAGAAGTGTAACGAGACTCTTGACACCAAGCAAAAGAGACAGCACTTCATTGGTGTGCTTGATATCGCCGGTTTCGAGATCTTCGACGTAAGTATCAGTGATATTTAGTTAATGGTGTAGAGTGATCTACTACCTAAGATCAAAATTCGAACTATTACTACCGTATTGTATATAAATAATTTTATAGATTACTAAACTCATAAGGTTATTTTAAATATTATATGTAATTTCATATTAAGAAATTATGATAATGACTATAAAAATTCTTAGATAAGCATAATAATCAAATTTTTTTCAGCTCATTTTAAATATATTATCTTTCTTAATTTAAAATTCCTCCATAATAATGGTACCTTAATCTTTAGTACAATGGGTTCGAACAACTTTGCATTAACTTCACAAATGAAAAACTGCAACAATTCTTCAACCACCACATGTTTGTGTTGGAGCAAGAGGAGTACCAGAAAGAGGGCATCCACTGGGAGTTCATTGATTTCGGAATGGACTTGCTCGCCTGTATTGACCTTATCGAAAAGGTATCCGCACCGGGTGGATGAACCCTCTCTCGTCTTGGATGTTTCTGGTGTTTGTTTACTCTACTACTAATTATGTTACCTAACTCTTTTGTGTCTATTGTCTGATCGGTCGTATTGTCCATAAAGTATAATGGTTTCGAGCAACTCTGCATTAACTTCACGAACGAGCGGCTGCAGCAGTTCTTTAATCATCATATGTTTGTCCTCGAACAAGAGGAGTACAAGAAAGAGGGCATCACATGGGCCTTCATCGACTTTGGGATGGACTTGCTCGCTTGTATCGATCTTATCGAGAAGGTAATGCTCGTCGACAGTAGCAGAGAGTGGTAGCGCCCGCCGACCGCAGCCCCCGCCAACAGAGGAATTGTCTATGGAGATAGATTTCGATTCAGCGTCTAGCGCGATATTTCGGATAGGGAAATAACTACGGAATGTGATCCGAATACCAACAACTGCGGAATGTGATCCGTAGTCGTGTTTCCTAACACTAACCTTTTGTTTTAATTGTCTCCCTGCAGTTCAATGGTTTTGAACAACTCTGCATTAATTTCACCAACGAGAAACTGCAGCAGTTCTTTAACCACCACATGTTCGTGCTGGAACAAGAGGAGTACCAGCGCGAAGGCATCGAGTGGACTTTCATTGACTTTGGCATGGACCTTCAAAATTGCATTGACCTTATTGAAAAGGTAGATGGCGGTAATGCAGCAATGAACGCTTGCAACTCGCCATAGTCCAGGAGCAAAGCCTAATAAGGCTTTTCTCTACGGACATACAAATGCAGCTACCCTGTGTTGTGTGACTTGAGTGTTCCTGTGTGTCGATATATGTTTTACACTAATCACTACGCTATGAAACTCCTACACACTACATTACCCACTAGCCTACACTTTTTTATCTAACAAGTATATCTCGTTGTTTCCATGCGCCCAACAGACGAATGGATTTAATCAGCTTTGCGTTAATTTTACAAATGAGAAGTTGCAACAGTTTTATAATCATTTCATGTTTATTCTTGAACAAGAAGAATATGAAAGAGAAGCGATTCAATGGAGCTTTATTGATTTTGGTATGGACCTCCAACCTACTATAGACTTAATAGAAAAGGTATTAAAGATTTTAACTTCTTTAGCGGCGTAGTCATTAGTATTAGTGTTTAAACAATTAAAATGCCGCTAATTGTAGTATATTAATTTGTTGCATTACAAAAACATAGAAATGTTATAGAACTATTCACAAGTAAAGGAAACTATATTTTATTAATCACCACATTTCCGTGAGATTTTTTAATGGCGTTGATAATAGAGATTTTTTTTTTAAATTAATATGCGCTATGCCAATAAATATATTTTTACCTAACTGCTACATAATTCTAGTTAATCAAGCAAAATATTGAATATTTCTAATAATTACTAGCAAAATAATTCAATTTTAAATAACACATTCTACACATATTGCATGATGCTTGAGACGTAACGCTTACCTTATAAGTTCACATAGTATGAAAGTAAGTCTTATGATATGTGCTTTTTTAAAATTACATACCTGACAAAACATCCATAAATTTTTCTTTTCACCATTAAATATTAGTGTCGGATACTACGAGTACATAGTAAATAAATATTGAACTATTTTTAGATGTTATTATAAAGCGTAAAAATTCAAAACCAAGTTTACTATACAAAATCCACAAGCATATCATGAGACGCCATATAAAATTCACTCTCTAATACAATCAGTGTGATTACAGCCCATGGGTATCCTCTCCATTCTTGAGGAAGAGTCTATGTTCCCGAAAGCCACCGATCAGACCTTCGTTGAGAAGTTGAACAACAACCACTTGGGTAAATCCCCTTCCTTACCTGAAGCCCAAGCCCCCCAAGCCAGGTTGCCAGGCAGCTCACTTCGCCATTGGTCACTACGCCGGTAATGTAAGTATCTTGTACCTGCCACTAGATTAGGTTATATTTATAAAGTACTAGCAAACTCGGCGAACTCCGTTTCGCCACCAGATGGCTTCGTTTTATGTAACATTTCGTTTGGTGATCCCGCTTTTCTGTTGAAATTTTTCCTGAATTTTCTTTGCTATAAACCTCACGGAGCCCGAGACCTTTCCAACGAATCCAAAACCGTGGAAATCGGTTCGTGCGTTCTGGAGTTATAGCGTCAGGAAGGAAAACCCGACTTATTTTTATATAGTAGATTGAGATACTCCTTTTCAACAAAGATTGTTGTGAAACACATACGAAACATTTTATGCATTTTTTAATTAATATACATGCGATTAACGATGTGTATGTGGTATACAGGTCGGTTACAACATCACTGGATGGCTTGAGAAGAACAAGGACCCCTTGAACGACACTGTCGTTGACCAGTTTAAGAAGGGAAGCAACAAACTGTTGGTTGAGATCTTCGCTGACCACCCTGGTCAGTCCGGAGATGCCGGTGCTGGTGGCGGTGGCAAGGGTGCGTAATTTGTTAAATTTACAAAAGATATTATTATATATTATGATATTATTCGTAGCAACCTATTTCTATACAATATGGTGACGCCTGAAAGCAGAAAGAAAGATACTTTCACAAATAAAATATTTCATTAATAGGGTTAAACAAGTTGCTTTAAACTAGATTTATTTTAAAAAATAAATTGATTTCTGCCCAATTAGGTTTGATTAAAGTATTCCACGGTTTAATCCTTCCGGGTAATGTATGTATATTCTTATTAACTTATTGTTGACACTTTAAGGAATTGTATTATTTTAGTGTGACCAGAAATATTATATTAGTCTTATTTGTATAACTTTAGGTATTAAATTGTTGAAGATGCTTGGTATACAATTCAACCATTGGTTGTTGTACATTGGTTTTAATAAAGTATTTATGGCCATAAGGATATCTCCCATTTTCTGATCGTATGTAAAACAAAATAGAAGAGTAAATAAATAATATTGGTTTACAAACTAGGAGCTGGAGGCAAGCGTGCCAAGGGTTCTGCCTTCCAGACTGTATCATCGCTGTACAGGGTAACGAGCTACTCGAATCGTCATTACTTGCTTCTGTATCACGTGGCTTTTGTCCTCGTTTACCAACTCAGGGCTGGCAATTCCTATGGCATCTACCTACTTATTTAAATAGTAACTCGTTTACGCGACAAGATGAGCTGGACCGTTGGTAGCCCTGGGGTCTAGCAAATGTCCGTCCACGTAATTGTTAGTATGCGATTGGTGCAGCGTCCGGGTATCGTCGGTAATGACCCGTAGATTTTGTCTCTGTGGTCGTCTTTGCATTAACTTGTGCTTGTTACTTGTAATCCAGGCGGTCGCGGTAAGAAGGGTGGTGGTTTCGCAACTGTCTCATCTGCCTACAGGGTATTAAAATTATTATATCAGTATAAATTGATTATTTGTTATCACGCAGTGTAGAATTCTACATAAATGTAGCTTTACACTTTACTATATCTAAACTTGATATAGCTATCAGTGCCAAAACGAATGGGCTACGATCGCCTTTTGTCACAATTATGTTGTCAATAATTCATGTGTGAAGCATTTATTTTAATATCAAGTCATACACACAAATAATGTGTGTGTTGATATTACTCCAAAGTAAATCGAAAATTTCGGAAAAACCACAATTCTCGTTTCTAATACTATACTAATTTTTGTTTGTTTTTGAGTGTATTTCTAACAAACAGATCAATGTTCTAATACGTGTTTACCCACCGATCATTATACTATCATGTTGCATATCATTTTAGAGTGTTGCTTTATATGTTTATTATTATTTTTTACGATAAATGTTAATATTTTGAAATATTAAAAAAAAAAAAATATTATTGCTTCATATTGAAAAGATATTTGATTTAACTTAATATGTTAGTATTTGTAACAAATTACATTTTCATACAATGGTTATAAATACTACAGTGAAAAGTGTTATCTGTGAATTGTAGACTAATATATATTTGTATGTCAGGAACAACTTAACAATTTGATGGCCACACTGAGGTCAACTCAGCCTCACTTCGTACGTTGTATCATCCCCAACGAGCTGAAGCAGGCTGGTAAGTACAACGCCTAGGCCCACCCAAAACTATTTCTCAGATTTAGGTTAAAGATGAAAATAACTTTCGTAAGAATTTATAATAAACACGCCGCCTACACGCCGTGCGATGAGCGTGCGCGAGGTGCTCCCGGTGACTAGCTATATTTGGAGCGTTCCTCATCTTAATATCAAGTTTATTCTGCACAAGAATACGACTTTACACTATGTCCCTCTTTTATATTTACATATTTAATGATCTTATATATATACTTGCTTTTTTAAGCCTAATGTGGAATAATTCAGGATGCTATCCCTTATTATTTTGTGTTGAGAGTTGATAAATAGATTAAACAATATATAAGATGATATTGAAAATGAAGTTTCAAGTGTAATATTGTGAGTTAAAAAAAACAGCCTTTGGATTTAAAGGGATAATTAGATCACATAGGATGGTAACAATTGTTAATGCAATTAATGTCCCGGCAGGTCTCATCGACTCCCACCTTGTGATGCACCAGCTGACATGTAACGGTGTGCTTGAGGGTATCCGTATCTGTCGTAAAGGTTTCCCCAACAGGATGGTCTACCCCGACTTCAAGCTCCGGTAAGATTCTGTCATTGGGTAGCATAGCATTTTAGATCCCGAAATATTTTTGGTGCCGACCTTCAAGCGCGCAAAACGCCCATAAAATTGATAATTTATTTCATATTTCAATAAATAGATTATTTTTGGCCGCAACTCTAAACAAAATTCTTTTAGCTCTGGAGTGTTTGACGTTTATTTTGGTACTGTAACAGGTGCCTATGCTGACGTCATTGAGATATGAATATGAGTCACTATTTTGAAACGTGTCTAGGACATGGTGGCATGTTAAGACCTGGGCGTTTCATAAACGAACTTTACAATTATTTAACCGTTATATTTAATGAACAGTTACATGATTCTTGCGCCAGCCATCATGCAACAAGAAAAAGATCCTAAAGAAGCAGCTAGGAAATGTCTGGAAGCCGTGAACCTTGACCCTGATAGCTATCGTATCGGCCACACCAAGGCAAGGCCGCGCGAGCGGACCATCTATTGTTTCACTTTGCCCACCCCCTTTCTTTAGCACCTCTAAGCTCTAGCGAATAGAGTTCAACTATACATATAAAAATGTTCTAGTTTTAGGTTTATTTCAGTTTCACACCATAATACACGGATATTTGAATATCACGTGGTAAGGTATATTAGGATATAACCACTTCAATTATCTGACGTTGACAGAATACGTTGGAGTTTTTCATGGTCTCTTTTTTATGCATTTCCTTACCTTGTGACTTGATTGTTTTAATAATGTAGCTACAAGATCCTGGCCCCGCAAGCAGTTGCCAAGGAATCCGATCCTAAGAAAATCGCTCAAATTATCCTGGAAACGACTGACTTGGATGTCGAATCGTACCGTCTGGGTCACACCAAGGCATGTTATATTGGATTGACTGTAGTTTGTGGTCTGAAATATGAGAATTATCGATGTGTTTCTAGAGTGCCTGCCCGTAGGACTTATTGAGAGTTTGATAATGCTTATTCATCAGAACCCACTTAGGTTCCCAATCATACAGAGCCCTCGCTACTTAGGCTCGGAATTAACTTACATTCTACCATATACCCGTATATCAAGCGACATAATACACTCTTGAATGCTATTAAAGAACGTACGGTCTTTTTATCATCAAATATATACATATTATAAATAAAAAAAAATTGAGATTCAATTTGGGTTTTATGTCGTTTTGTTGATAATCGCATAATTTTCCTTTTTATTGTGATTTGTGTGCTCCTAAACGCAGATACAAAATTCTGTGCCCGAACCTGCTTAAAGAACCCATTTCACCGGAGAAAGCTAGCGAGAAAATTCTCGAACATACCGGCTTGGACTCGGAGTCTTTCAGACTTGGAAAGACAAAGGTAGTGATCCAAATCACTATAACTGTTATCCTTTACGCACAATAACTTTCTTTAATTCGATGACGTCCTAATTCTTTACAACAGAAAACTTATATCTATTTAATCGGTTTCAAAAGACATATTATATGTATTAAAATCAAATTTCAATAAAGAAATAGGACGTATAACTAATTATTACTAGCAATTATTGCTTGATATCAAATTTATATACTGCACCATTTTATTATTTATATATGAAAAAAATATGGTTATTTTTATAAATTGCTTATATTTCTATAACTTTTAATGTGGGACAACAGGTATTCTTCCGCGCCGGAGTTCTGGGTCAGATGGAAGAGTTACGTGACGACAGATTGTCTAAGATTGTTTCTTGGCTACAATCCTACATCCGTGGTTACCTGGCACGTAAGGAATTCAAGAGGCTGCAGGAACAGAGGTAAATTAATAGATAAACATTTTATGGCGCAACCGGTGAAGTATATCTTAATACAGATTAGTTCAAAATAATAATTTTCTTTTGTAGAATCGCTCTCCAAGTTGTCCAGCGCAACTTGCGCAAATACCTGCAGCTCCGCACCTGGCCGTGGTGGAAGTTGTGGCAGAGGGTCAAGCCCCTCCTCAACGTCACCCGTATCGAGGACGAGATTGCGGTAAGTACAAATTCCGTACACCTGACGCGTTATGATTGAACACTGACCCATAAATTATTTCGCGCGGAGAGAGCGTGAATCAGGCCCCTACAAATAGCACAGCCGCGCCCACCTGGCGGTTACGTGACACCACCGCACCTGCCGCCTCCATTTCTGGAACCGCCCCACTCCAGCGGGCCTTACAATAGTGATGCGGGGGCGCAAACCGCGCGCTGGAATTCTCCAGCCACACTTAGTAGCGGGACGGTCGGCGCGCGCGCACCCCTTACTTCACACGCCTCACGAACGAATCGAAATAGTTATTGCATTCCTACTATTATAGTTTTTTTTATTTTGATGCTGTAAATTCATAATTGATAATGGCAGCGAATAATTTATCAATTTGGGACGGTGTAGATAAAAGTGAAGTGATATTGCAGAAACTCGAGGAGAAGGCACAGAAGGCCCAGGAGGCTTTCGAGAAGGAAGAAAAGCTCCGCAAGGAGGTGGAGGCTCTCAACGCCAAGCTGTTGGAGGAGAAGCAGGCGCTGCTTTCCAACTTGGAAGGAGAGAAGGGCTCTCTCAGCGAAGTGCAGGAACGCGCTAACAAGCTGCAGGCTCAAAAGGCCGACCTCGAGAACCAACTTAGGGTAAGTAGTTAATAATATCTATTATCATTAAAAAAAATTCTGATGTTACGGTCTGTGGGGCACAAATAGTATATCTACTTCGGTAATTACTCTTTAAAAGTAAGTGAATTTAGCGTAGAGGTTTAAAAATGGACTATTTAGTACGGAAACAGAGCCTGGAAGTATAGCACCAGCTTAGGTAGCTTTTTATTTGATTTTTAACAAAAATATCCACCGAACCAAATATGAAGAGATTCGTCAGGGGTTAACACTGTTGCGAATCATGTTTCAGAGCACATGTTTTCTTAACTGAGGTTCTTTAAATAAACAAGATTTGTTTATATAAGGTGGCGTGGGAAGTTTAAAATATTGCACGTCTGCAACATCTACAGTTTTATTGCAAGTTTAACTATTAATAAAGTAATTACGTGCCAATAGATAGGAAACAGATTCTTAGTTGCAAATTTTATACCTTTTTACGTGCCGGTCTAAATTTATAACTTTAACACAGGACACACAAGACCGTCTTACACAAGAAGAGGATGCCCGCAATCAGCTCTTCCAGGGCAAGAAGAAGTTGGAACAGGAAATCTCTGGACTCAAGAAGGATGTTGAGGACCTGGAACTTTCCGTCCAGAAGGCTGAACAAGACAAGGCGACCAAGGATCACCAAATTCGCAACTTGAACGACGAGATCGCCCACCAAGATGAGCTCATCAACAAGTTGAACAAAGAGAAGAAATTACAGGGTGAGAGCACCCAGAAGACATCTGAGGAGCTCCAAGCCGCCGAGGACAAGGTCAACCACCTTAACAAGGTTAAGCAAAAGTTGGAGCAGACCCTCGACGAGCTCGAAGATTCGTTGGAGCGTGAAAAGAAACTCCGCGGTGACGTCGAGAAGCAGAGGAGGAAGGTTGAGGGTGACCTCAAGCTTACTCAGGAAGCCGTCGCTGACTTGGAGCGCAACAAGAAAGAACTCGAACAAACCATCCAACGCAAGGACAAGGAGATCTCTTCCCTCACTGCCAAGCTCGAAGACGAACAGTCTCTGGTCAGCAAACTCCAGAAACAGATCAAGGAACTACAGGGCCGCATCGAAGAACTCGAAGAGGAAGTGGAGTCGGAGAGACAAGCCCGTGCTAAGGCTGAGAAACAACGCGCCGACCTCGCTCGTGAGCTTGAGGAGCTCGGCGAGCGTCTGGAGGAGGCCGGTGGTGCCACCTCTGCTCAAATCGAGCTCAACAAGAAGCGTGAGGCTGAACTTAGCAAGCTGCGTCGTGACTTGGAGGAAGCTAACATCCAACACGAGTCCACCCTCGCTAGCTTGCGCAAGAAGCACAACGATGCCGTAGCCGAGATGGGCGAGCAGCTTGACCAGCTCAACAAGCTCAAGGCTAAGTGAGTATAATCTTTATTGCTGTACAATTATAAAAAAAATATGAGTCCTCTACTTAATAGTGTATTTTAAAAAACAAAGGCAATTATTTTGCTTGTTATACTAAATATATAATTTTGAGGAGTTTTACAGAATAATGTAAAACCTATTAAGTCAAATTTCTAACACCTTGCACATTACCTCCGTCAAAGCTATGAAAACAGGCTAAAAATAGTTAAGTGTTTCCAAATTATGGAGTAACGCAATGTGAGTAAAGGATATTAATACGGTGCAACATTCAGGGCTGAGCACGACCGTGCGTCAAGCTACAACGAGCTTAACAACACGCGTGCTGCTATTGACCAAGTAGCGAGAGAGAAGGTACATGTCACCGAGAGAGGCTTGTCTGTCGCTCGGGGTGAACCTGCATGACCTAATCTGACATTACGTACACCAAAACATGATACCTTTTACATCGCATCGATTGAAATTTAGGTCGCTGCAGCACACTTTTCTTGTATTTAAGTTTGTTATTAAATATTCTTTTGTTGTATTCTATGTATCCAGGGCTGAGAAAGAGCGCTCTCAATACTTTAGCGAAGTCAATGACCTTCGTGCCGGTCTCGACCATTTGTCCAACGATAAGGTATACATTAATGGAGATGTGGTGTTCGCACCGCTGCAGCGCTTCAAGGCTTTGAAACTGAAACAAATTGACACACTTCTCATATATACATATCATTATATCCAACTAATAATATCAATAACTCCTTCCTAATAATTTGACAGAGACATTTATATTTAAAGAAAAGCGCATGAAGGCCGCTTCTATACTGTGTGTTTTATTAATATTTAATAATTATACGAAAAAGCATGCAAAAATCAGATTTTATCTAAAATTTTTGTAATATGAATTAAAGGTTGATTTAAATTATAAGCTTATATCCATAACATTAGATTGTTTGCCTTACTACCAAATCATTATAATAATATTAATGCAAATTTTTAAACCAACCACTAATAAAAATTTAAGTTTTTCATTTAGAGTACCTTATTTGGCGTACTGAAAACACGTTTATAAGTGAAGGAATTCTAAACCAAGAGTAGTATAATCATATTTAAAGGCAACAACTAACTGCTTTAAAATATCACAGGCTGCGCAAGAAAAGATTGTCAAGCAACTCCAACACCAACTCAATGAGGTACAGAACAAGGCTGATGAAGCTAACCGTACCCTCAACGACTTGGACGCTGCCAAGAAGAAGCTCTCCATCGAGAACTCTGACCTGCTCCGCCAACTCGAAGAAGCCGAGTCCCAAGTCTCACAGCTTTCGAAGATCAAGGTGTCTCTCACCACACAGCTTGAGGACACCAAGAGGCTTGCTGACGAAGAGTCCAGGGTAAGTCAGATTTAAAAAAATGTAGGAGCCTATTAATCACCATGGCCCGTATCCAAAAATACATAAAAAGTATTTTAATTTTTTATATAATAATCCAATGTTTGTGTGCAGGAACGCGCTACACTTCTCGGCAAGTTCCGCAACTTGGAGCACGATTTGGACAACATCCGCGAGCAAGTTGAAGAGGAAGCCGAGGGCAAGGCTGATTTGCAACGCCAATTGTCCAAGGCTAACGCTGAAGCCCAATTATGGCGCTCCAAGTACGAATCCGAGGGAGTGGCCCGCTCCGAGGAGCTCGAGGAATCCAAGCGCAAGCTCCAGGCTCGCCTCGCAGAAGCCGAGGAGACCATTGAATCACTCAACCAGAAGGTTGTTGCTCTTGAAAAGACGAAGCAGCGCCTTGCTACTGAAGTTGAGGACTTACAGCTCGAGGTCGACAGAGCCACTGCCATCGCCAACGCTGCTGAGAAGAAACAGAAGGCGTTCGACAAGATCATTGGTGAATGGAAACTCAAGGTTGATGACCTGGCGGCTGAACTTGATGCCAGCCAAAAGGAATGCCGTAACTACTCTACTGAACTGTTCCGCCTTAAGGGTGCCTACGAAGAAGGTCAAGAACAACTCGAAGCCGTTCGTCGCGAAAACAAGAACCTCGCTGATGAAGTCAAGGACTTACTTGACCAAATCGGTGAAGGAGGCCGCAATATTCACGAAATTGAAAAGGCCAGGAAGCGTCTTGAAGCCGAGAAGGATGAACTCCAGGCGGCTCTGGAAGAGGCTGAAGCTGCTCTTGAACAAGAAGAAAACAAGGTTCTGCGCGCCCAACTGGAGTTGTCACAGGTCAGACAAGAGATCGACAGGAGGATCCAAGAGAAGGAAGAGGAATTCGAAAACACCCGCAAGAACCACCAGCGTGCACTCGACTCTATGCAAGCCTCCCTCGAAGCCGAAGCCAAGGGCAAGGCTGAGGCGCTGCGCATGAAGAAGAAGCTTGAGGCCGACATTAACGAACTTGAGATCGCTCTCGACCACGCTAACAAGGCCAACGCTGAGGCACAGAAGAACATCAAACGCTACCAGCAACAGATTAAGGATCTCCAGACCGCTCTTGAAGAGGAACAGCGTGCCCGTGATGATGCCCGTGAACAGCTCGGAATCTCTGAACGTCGTGCTAACGCACTCCAGAATGAACTTGAGGAATCTCGTACCCTCCTAGAACAAGCTGACCGTGCCCGTCGTCAAGCTGAACAAGAACTGGGTGACGCTCACGAACAGCTCAATGATCTGTCCGCCCAGAGTGCATCACTCTCTGCCGCCAAGAGGAAACTCGAGTCTGAATTACAGACCCTTCACTCTGACCTTGACGAACTCCTTAACGAGGCCAAGAACTCGGAAGAGAAGGCAAAGAAGGCAATGGTTGACGCTGCCAGACTTGCTGACGAGCTCCGCGCTGAACAGGATCATGCTCAAACACAGGAGAAACTCCGCAAGGCCCTTGAACAACAAATCAAGGAACTGCAAGTGAGACTCGACGAAGCTGAAGCTAACGCTCTTAAGGGCGGTAAGAAAGCTATCCAGAAACTTGAACAGAGAGTACGAGAACTCGAAAATGAGCTGGATGGTGAACAGAGGAGGCATGCTGATGCACAGAAGAACCTCCGTAAGGCCGAAAGACGCATCAAGGAGTTGACGTTCCAGGCTGAGGAGGACCGCAAGAACCACGAACGTATGCAAGACCTTGTTGACAAACTTCAACAGAAGATCAAGACCTACAAGAGGCAGATCGAGGAAGCCGAAGAAATCGCTGCTCTTAACTTGGCCAAGTTCCGCAAAGCGCAGCAGGAGTTGGAAGAAGCCGAGGAAAGGGCCGACCTCGCCGAGCAAGCCATCAGCAAATTCCGTGGCAAGGGACGTGCGGGATCCACTGCGAGAGGAGTCAGTCCGGCGGTGAGTTGACAAAATTATTATTTAACGAAGAGACAGGAAATTTCCACTGAAATATCCAATAATTTTATGCAAATCCCATAATTCAGTCATAGTACGTTTTTTTAACTAAGACGCTTTTATTTTATTCACTCAGGCGTCCGTTAAAGGACGTATCTAAGATCATCACCGCAGTAAATGTAAGTTGTTTTGACCAACAAAAAGATTAAGAACTGCACTGAGTACCGTGCCCATACTTAACTAGGACTATATGAGCTAGATTTTGATTTTATATTTAGTTCAAATGCACGGCGGATCATAATTTGCATGAGAAACTTTTACCAAGTCTAGGATAGTCTGTGTCCAAACCAGGCATGCTATATTTCCAACATGTTTGTTTAGTTTGTTTTAAAATTATGGTCTTAGTAAAACTCCTTTTTATTCCTAGACCCCAGAAACATGTGACATGGAAAATTTTCACCCTAAAAATAATTTCCTTATAAAATGGAATGTTACGTTTTGCTATTAAAATATTTGTTATCCTATTAAGTTTCATCTAAAGTGAAATAGTTAACAAATATTCATGTTGGATCTATTTTTCAGCCCCCACGTTCGCGCCCCGCGTTTGACGGTTTCGGCACCTTCCCACCAAGGTTCGACCTAGCGCCCGAAGATTTCTAAACGTTCCATAAACAATAAAACGGACTGTAAATGTAACACCAGTGTATTCGCGTGAACGATGAACTGTTAGGATTTATATAGAAAACTGTATACACTATGTTTTTACGAAGTATTTTGTAATTGTTGATATTTATTTATTGATTACCGTCTGTATCGCGCGAGCGAGCGAGCGGTGCGTGCGCGCCGAGCTCCAAGAGACACACCCTCCATCCCGCTTCACCGCCGCCGAGCGCCGCTCGCCCGCTCTGCTTACATCCAAATAAAGCGATATCGTTGTCAGAAAATTTATTTCGCTGTTTTATTTATTTCTTTACAATTGATATCCTTACAATACTTAATAAAAGAACCCATATTATTTACATACCTCACATATGTTTTTTTAGAAAAGTTTTTAAAGTATATTAGATATAAATATAAAATATACCTACATATATATTTATGACACGGAAGTACTTTACATTTTGCACAATCTGTATATTTCTATGATCTCAGTAAGTTTCCTGGGACGTAAATTGTAGAAAGATGTAGAAACTATGAAAAGCTTGCGGAAACAAAATAAAATAAATAAAATAAAATATGTTTATTATGGAACATAAGATACATGTATCACTTATTCCACGTCATTAAATTTGAAGGCATCCCTACTCATCGGCAAAGAAGACAGAGGGTGTAGGCCGAGAGAAAAAGCCGGCGTAAAAAACTCTCGGTACTCTTTTAAAACAGCAAATCATCAAACAACACTTATTTAAAACAAATATCGTAAATTGATTAGAAGTAGCCTGTCTAGCACTAGTCCCAGGCCCTTTTATCAACTAGATAATCGTTGACTTTATAGTAAGCCTTTTTACACAGCTTTTCTTTAATACATTTCTTAAATTTATTGAAAGGCAGTGATAAAAGAGCCTCTGGGATTTTATTAAAGAAGAGTATCCCTTTCCCCAAAAAAGAATTACTAACTTTAGATAGTCTAGTACGGGGAAATTGCAGCCTGCGTTTGTTCCGTGTATTAACATTGTGCGTATGTTCTATTCTAGTAAACTTATCACTATTTTTGTATACATACATAATATTTTCATAAATATATTGCGAGGGAAAGGTAAGTATATTAATTTCCTTGAATTTATCTCTAAGAGATTCCCTACATTTTAAATGCTCATATACGAGCCTTTTGTAGGTTCCCAATCTTACGAAATATAGACCTTAAAACATAACCAAAAGCTACATATATAATTATAGTACACGTTAAGTGTTAATTATATTGAAATAATATAATTTGTATTACCATAATTATCATATAATTTATAATTGATCGTTTCTGCAGAAACAAAAGCTTTTCGTAACATCCGTGAATGAGTTGGAGGTTAGTGAACCTTATCGCTGTCGATGTGACACACGATTACACGCACTTACAATACTATGCCAGCCGCACACTTGCCACAAAATAATGTACAATACTTTAAGATATGATCTAAAAATACTCGAAACACCTGTCTCGTACAGGGCGGAACATATTTTCTGCACATTTGCCCGTTTTATTGGCTCCGCGATTATTAAAATCGTTGGAGTAGTCGGCACTCTCTCCGTGAAAAATCTGTGTGAAAATATTTTTATAAAATTAAAAATTCTAGCCTAGGGATTGTAGAATATAAAATAAAAATTTAATATAAAAAGGAAATAATTTAATAATTAGTAGAAACTGAGTGTACATAACTGTGCCGAAATATGATGATTCCGTTTACTTGCTTTCACTTTTTATAGAAAATTAAACAGATAGGGATGCATAAAACAGAAGTAGCACAATGTACGGCCGACCTATAAGCAGTATGTAATGAACCGTAAAAACAAAGCAATCTATCCAATTAGCGATATAAGCACGCGTTCTAGTATTCAAATACGTCTCAGTGTGGACTATGGATAGTCAGTGTTTCAGCTAGACGTAATGTGGAGGCTACTTCTTATTCTGTGGGTATGCGGAGCGGAAGGAAAGTGCTACTGGAATGGAAAGTGCCCATATAATCTATTCGGTACCAAGACTCCGTACGACGTGGTCAGAGGAGATATAAGAGATGTCCCCGTATTAGAAAGTAAGTAGTTGTTACATATATAAATTATGAGAAAAGAGAAGATGATGTAAGAAGTCTTATAAAATAGCGAACATAAACATATTATTAGAGTGAACAAAAACTAATGATAGCATTTTTCTTTGCAACAATTTGGTAGGGGTAAAGAAAAAGTATCTGACTAAATTGCGTAGTCCCAAATGTTTATTTTGTTTTACTTCGGTTTTTACTCGACGATTGTTATCATATATAGAATGCGAGGCGGTAAGCGTTTGGATGATGATACGTCATGGCACGAGGAGTCCCGAAAAAGAGGAGCTGGACAAGATGAAGGCTGTGGTGGGACTTGCACCAGAGGTGGTGCGGGCACACCGAGAGGGACGTGGGGATATGTGTGAACAGGTACAAATATAAGAGTAAAACAGCGAAAACAATAAGGTAACACTTTCGTGTTGCGTGGACGGTACATTCTAATCAACATATTTGAAAACATAGATTTCAAGATTTTAGTACTTATACAAGAGGTCTGACGTTATAATATCCGAAGATAAATAGTAAATAAACTCAATTTCTTTAATAACTTTTCGACTGGAGAATTTTCTTCAAAGTACCTAATTGTTTGAACTGTCATCGTTTAATAATACCTACATTCTGGATGAAAAAGTGATTATCTAATTTACTTTTTTTTTCATATAATTCTCCCAATCTCTCTCGGTACGTATATGAATGTACGTAATTTTTTTACTGCTGCTATCCTACAAAAAATTACTAACTTAAACTTAATAACTTATTAGGATATCGAAAATTTGGAAAAATGGATTTGGAACGACGAGCTAGATGCATCGCCCTCAGAACTGACAGCTACTGGTACTGGTGAGTTGCAGGGCATGGGACAAAGGTTCGGGAAAAAGTTTGAAAATGTTCTTAAGAACTTACAGCAGCACCAGATCAGAGCCTCCATCGAACAGAGGACCCAGCAGAGCGCAAATGCTTTCGCAGATGGCCTGATGAGGAACAATCAGACTTTGAATATTTCTAGTTCTCTAAGTGACGACCTGACAGCCAGAGTGAGTACTCAAAGTTTGTCATTTACGTAAGTCACATTAATATAATATTTGTTTAAATTAAGCCACATAAATTATACGGATTTAATTCGAATTTCATAAAAATTAATTGTTTTAGTCATCATTTATTTTTGGACATTCTGTATCTTTATACGAGTTCAAATTTTGTATTGACTTTGCTAGATGACTTTATATTAGGCTAAGCGCCTATATTATGTTAATATTGTACTAGTTTATCATTTAAATATAATACAATCATATTTCAGCCCTATAGACATTGTAAGAAAAGGTTTTATGACATCCTCATCGGCCCTAAGATCCCACAGGAAACTGATAAATATCTACAATCACATGAATTTAAAAAGGTAAGAACTATTCCTTTTAATAAGAATATGATGTGCTTTTTTACTAACTACCAAATAAAAATGGATAGCGTAGAAGTTATTGATAGATATAATAAGTACCCTATACACCTGCTAAGTAAACCGCAGTGTACAAAAAGATTATATTGACATTAATTTACGCGAACATCAAAAACTATAAGTGAGTAATGGCAACAACAAAATTTATAATTTCTGTAAATCAATTCTTATATTATAGGTACAAACATCAATCCAGAAACGGACGGGCCTGGAAGAGTCCCTGAGTCCAAAGACAATTCTTCTGATTTACGATGTCTGCCGGTATCATCGCAGTATCTCACCAAGACAGACAGATGCGTGGTGCAGCCTGTTTAGTGATAACGATCTTAAGATTCTTGAGTACGTCGAAGATCTACAACATTACTATAGGTACGATCAGTTATTGATGGCATTTCAAACTCAAACTCAAAATATCTAGGTAGGTAACAAGTACACTTATGAATTGTCAGAAAGAAGTTAAATTAATGTACAATTATTACCAGTTCGCAAGTCAAAGGCGTAGAGCGGGTAAGAAAAACTGGCAAGAAACTTTCCGCCACTCTTTTTAATCGCCAAGTATTGTTATACAAATTGTTTGAACTGGAGCAAATCAATCCCAAGGATTAGGATCATTTAAGTATTCCTCAAATTTATAAAAAGCTTTATTGATTAATTTTTGATTAACGAGTAATAATTTAGTTGCTTAGCAAAAAAAATTATTTTGCATAGGAGTTAAATAGGTATATCTTTAACACCAAGTATAAATGATTTTGGAGATAATCCAACTTGATTCACCAACTAGTCCACTTTTACTCATCGTGTTAATTTGGAAAATCTATAAATCAAATGCCACCAAGCTTATTTAAATTCACATGAATCACAGGAAATTTGTCACAACCTAACCTTGGCTTAAGACTATTTATATAATATTCACATTTCTAGTTAGTTCTAATACAAAGGATTTAATATAAACGCTTTCTAATACGACTTTATAATATTTAAATCACCAGGAATGGACACGGTGACCCCATAAACAGTAAATTAGGCGCATCGAGTCTAATGGACTTGTACGAGAAGTTCGAGTTAGGAACCCAGGGTGTTACCTCATTCTCAGCATACTTCTCCCACGATACTATGATGGGTATGCTTTATGCAGCGTTAGGACTGTATGTGGACCGGCCAGCTCTTTCTGGCTATGAAAGGATCAAGAAGAGGCGTTGGCGGACAAGCTTTTTGACTCCATACGCGGCTAATTTCGTAGCCGTGTTGAACAAGTGCGTATTACATATTTAAATCCTAGTTTACTACGACTATATCTGCTATACATAATAATTAATTATTTGAAATAAACGACCATAGACTAGAAATAAGTACATACATGAATACATAATTTCAAACTTGCCGTTTGTCATATTTTGTATTCTTATAAACAGATGCAATGACCCGTCAGGGAGCATCTTTAAAGTGCAATTCTTCGTAAATGAGAAGGAAGTCCACCTGTGTTCCCGTCGCGCTTGCTCTTGGCAACAGTTCTACAGGAAGTTCAACAATTTCACACAGGACTTGACTTTTTGCAACGAGACACTCGTTACTTCGTAAATGGATGTTTTAAATAGCTTTTTATCTGCACGACAGAAGTGTGGTATATTGATCTTATTCAAAATGTTTTAGTAAGAATTTTGTTGTCTTAATAAGATATTTTAAGTTATGGCGTATGTTATTTGGTGTTTGAATAAACGAGATTAAGGATATAGATAGTACTTTTATTTTAAAATAGCTTTAAGTAGTACCACTAGTATATTTCCTAGGCCTCTATAGAGATACAAATGGATAAACAATTGTCAGAGCAATAACGCGAATGTCAGCTATTAGGCCAGTCATTATAGACATTCGAAATCGAAAATTTGATAATAATTCCAAAAGTTTTCAAACTTCGGTCAAGTGAATGGTACATTGGGACGACAATAAATCTCATTTTGCAACCTTGTCCGCAGTCCGGAACATTGTTAAAATTGCAATTAAATTAATTTTTGCTGTATGGTCGTGAAAAAAATTCCAAAAGTTCTGCAAACTTGGGGAAGTTTTCGATATAATATTTCATATCACGTATAAAATTTGCAACCAACCTAAGTGTACGGAACATTTTTTGTTATTTATTTTATTTTCGATATATCTGTCAAATTTGCAGAACTTTTGGAACGTTTTCCTTCAGTTTAATAAAGAAAAACATTAATTTTTAATAACAAAAAATGTTCCGTACACTTAGGTTGGTTGCAAATTTTATACGTGATATGAAATATTATATCGAAAACTTCCCCAAGTTTGCAGAACTTTTGGAATTTTTTTCACGACCAAAACTTATTTTTAACAATGTTCCGGACCGCAGAGAAGGTTGCAAAATTTTATAGTTTGTTTTAATACCACTCCCGACCTTACATCAAAATTTGAAAACTTTTGGAATTATTATGAATTAATTGTCTTGACTGACTGGTCTATATGTAATGTCAGATATTGACTATGTAGTCGGTTCAGCTGTGGAACGAATTCACGTAATGTCACGAAACTTGTCTATCACAAATTTAGGTTGCTATACTGGCACTAGTTTAATAATTGACGGTCGACCAAGCAGAAGCCTTTACAGACTAGACTCTTATGTCGAAATTAAACGGCCAATGCCAACAAATTAATTTATGGCGTCGCGTCATTATTTTAAAAAAATTATCAGCAGGTCGAGTTTAGTTAATATTTAGAGTTTAGACCGTACTTTCTAGCCATTGTACATGTTCTCATTGCTGCTTAATATTGGTTTCATTCAATGTCAGTTACTGCTTTTGACTTTCAACCTTCCTTTCTCCAAGGTCTATTTGACCTTCCTGTGCTATTCCTTTATCTCTAGGTCATATACATATAACATAGAATAAAAACAAGTTGAACACAAGAATTTTATATTATTAAATTAAAATAGTAAATTACGCCAAAACACGCCATACATACACATTTTTGTATTAAAAAGTATAAAATATACAATAATTTCACTAATTATATATTTGGGAACTTCCATTATAGTATTCGAAGGGAGATGATGGAGAGCGTTAGAAAAAGTAAACCAGTTAGCGGCCTAAACTCCGCAGCACTTCCAGGGACATTCGGAATTCCTAATTCTTTTAGTTTGCAGAAGTCAAGATTGGCGTCAAAGAAGGTCTGGAAGATGGAGGCAAACTGGTCCCAGGTGCAACCTTCAAGCGGACATAGGATTGTCGGCTTCTCGTTGTTAAATATTTGTACTTTGTAGGAGCCATCGTTACATCTGAAATGACGTCATGTAAACTTATCCCTTTTGTCGATAACTAAGCACGCATAGATTTTGTACGCAATGATTTAATATTATTATATTCGAGTTTTAAATGTTAACACACTTTTGAATCAATCTAATGATTGATATTTATTAATATAAACGGCCCTGATATGAGTGCTGCCAGATGGTCACAGATTGTCTGCATGAAACGACCACGAAGTTTAAGACGAGACATTATAAAATAGCTTCCCAATCTCACCTATTTAAGAAAGCCATAATATTAGCGGAAAATGGAGCGAGGTGAGAGGTCCTCCAATGCCTGTTAGGGTTTCTATGTTGCGCTGTAATAGTTTCGCCATCTTTATATAGTCCGAGGGCACTGTAGACCATACCCAGGAGAGTATCATGGGCAAAGTATGCTACTATGCTTTTGCCCTCTCCTCGCTTGGCCAATTCTAAGCTTTCGTATAGATTCTTCAGTACTGGATGACCAAGCTTTGCGTTGATCTAAAAAAATAAGACGCAGATATTTCAAATTTATTGGCATCATTATGGTGATAAATGTGTAATATTATAGGATGAAGTCGAGGTCGCTACTTTTATATATTCCAGAGTAATAATATGTTTACAAACTCTCCAGATGAAGAAGAGATAGATAAGTCTAGGGTGATATTTGACAGCCTTACCGGAAAGCCATAGGCGTTCTTGTAGTAGTGACGAACGTCATCTCTATATTCCAGAACTAGAAGATCACTAGAGGAAAAGGCAGCGCACCAAGGGCTCTTATGGTCTGGTGACCATGTACGATAGAAACGGCAGAGTTCGTATAATGTAAAAATTTCTTCTACAGATAACGTCTGTGATAGCCCCAAACGTTCTGTGACACTTTTTTGTACCTGTAATCGTTATATTAATAAGATTACTAAATTTTTTCTTTGAAAAAACAAAAGAAATAATTACTGTTGTTTGCTGTTTGTGAATTTTGTAAAAAGTACATTTAAACAAATGTCAAGAGTCCCAACTGATGTTAAGTGCCGCCCATGGACTCACAATGCCAGAAGGCTCGCAAGTGCGTTGCCGGCCTTTTAAGTATTGGTACGATCTTATCTTGAATGAGCGTTATCGAAATTCGGAAATACTGCAGTGGCAAGGGGCAAAAGTGCCTTTAAAATTAAAAACGCTTAGTTGTGAAACAACGTACATCGAGGTTGTTTTCATTCATTGTTAATAAATGAAAGTGATTTTAAAGGCTCAAGTTATCTCAAGATGTTTATACCAATCTTTATAATTAATAATTATCAGTTAAATACAGGTAGAAATTATAACTGTCCCATCCTTGGGCTTAACTGATTACAGAAGCTGAAGAGGGTTAAAAGCCCGAATTGCGAAAGCAATGCGTTGAACTAAAAAGATACATCTATATGTTCTATTACTAAATATATGAATACAATCAAATCATTACTTGCAAATACTCAGTTGTTTTAAAGAAGGCTTCAAGCTGGTCACTGAGGAGCTGTCCATTTTTCACTTCGTCTTTATATTGCGGACAATTGTCGTAAGGCTGTAGAAAATAATGGTATTCATCATTTAATATGGAAGCCACAGGTTTATTTGCTACTTGCCTTATAGAATTCGCTTGATGTAGTAGACTCAGAAATTCTAGCTAACATAGTCCACTGGTAACGAACTTTGTAAGTATAAATTAAATAAAAATGTAAATATCTAAGTTGGCGCCTGTTAGATGGTATCGTTCCTCGCTCAACGAATAAATATTGAAATGCAGCGAGAAATTGTAATTAAAGGTAAACTGCCACAGGGACATAAGTTCCTAACTTTATTTTAGTTACCTATAAACCATTTTTTAAATATTATTATTATTAAAAATAGTATTTTTGGGTCTGGGCCTCAAATTACTGTATCTGTTTCCTGATCATTTTTCAATCTAATAGGCAAGTAGGTGATCAGCCTCCTGTGCCTGACCCACACTGTCGACTTTTTGGGTCTAAGGCAAGCCGGTTTCCTCACGATGAGTTCCTTCAGCGTTCGAACGAATTTTATATGCGCACATAGAAAGAAAGTTCCATTGGTGCACAGCCGAGGATCGAAGCTACGCCCTCAGGGATGATAGTCGGACGCTGAATCCACTAGATCAACACTGCTCATATAAATATTATTGTGATGAAATAAAAATTGACTTATGTAATTTTTACTTGCAAACATTTCTTAATTTACTTCTTTACGATTTTAGTGTTATCTTTTTCATTCAAACTATTTACTGTTCGTAAATTATTTCTTCTATCCCCCAATAGAAACATACACAGTACAATGCCTTATATTTACTCTTATACTCTATCCTTACTCTTAATACGTCATCCTGTTCTCTAGGCTCGTCAGCCGTCAGGTTTAATTCTTTGCCCTCATTGAAGGCCTGAACAAAAGCCATGGCACTGGTGACAGTTCGCTGTTTATATGTGGGTCGCACGTACACATCAAATTGGGATTCCAAAAGTTGCGGGTACTTCTGCCGTATCCGAGAACCCAGCTCATATATCTCCTCATATCCTACTCCAGTGAGATACTTCTGTGATGTCTCCATTGTTGCGTTCCACTTCCATTTGCGAAAGTTTTCTATATCCTAGGTGTAAAATTATTTCTAAATCAAACTCGTCTTAGCTTAGAATTGACAAAATCTTACGCTAAAAGGTTAGGTGTGCGGACTAAGTAGTCAAGAATAACAAAAGTAGGTTGTTTTCATTATATAAGCTGTTTAAATAAAAAACATCTATCCCAGGCTTTAATATAGTGAAAACTACACGTCAAGAGCTTGTGACTTTCACTTTCAATGAAAACACAGATTACAGTGATGTAACTAAAGCCGCACTTTCCCTCTTTATCTTAGCACACATATTGTGAAAAAAGAGATAATTAGGGAAGGGATACAGAAAATAAAAAAGTTTTGAACGGATAATGCTGATGAAGCATAAGGCGGTTAGATGCGTCACTGAATTCACATTGAATCAATTTATCAAGATTAACCTGTGCACATAATTGGCTGGATCCCATCTCGTAATCAAAGTGCTCGATGATTTCATCCTTAATCCGAGCCTCCAGTTCTCGCATGTTGATAGTCTCTTTATCACCAGGGTTCCGGTTGCCATGACGAACTAGTGCCCACATGCTGATCGCTTCGCAGCCTTTAACCAAATATTAGAAAAATTTAATTCACGACTGCAAATGAATAAAAAAAAATTGCTTAATTAATTAATTAATTTGCTTGACAAATTCAAAAATTTGTTTATTCGTTAACTATATTATGAATGTTAGAATACAAAACCAGAAAACTTAAGATAAAAACTAACGGTAACTAAGAAGTACGTTTACGAATAGAAACGTTAACCGGTATTTTAATCAAACCCAGATAAAGCCGCAAGTATCAGCTAGTGTACAAGGTATACAAATATATTTTAATTATATAAATTTATAATAATACATAACTATAATCCGGTTAAAAAGTTTTTTCTTTAGTGTAATTAACCCAAAAATTTTAATTTATTAAATACAAAATTTTATTAAATTTTATCAAATACAAAATGACTTCTGTCTTGAACCAAGAATAACATCTTACCCGCAAGTAAGGGCCAGTCCCGTATATCTCCTCTTACAGCATCATAGGGAGTCCTCGTCGCAAATAACGTTTCCTGGCATTCTGCCCTCCAGTAGCATGACCGATCTTTCGTGCTTACACCCACACAAACACACAAAACTCCTACCAACACAGTGCGTAACAACATTTCGTATCGTCTTAAAGAACACACACTATCTCTTATATAGGCAAAGATAAAAACCGAATCAAGAAGTATCTAAAGATAACTGTACACTAGTGACTTTTTTCTTTAGAACAGTACATGTTGTTCCAACGCGATGTTTACAGAGAATAAAAACAGGAATACGATAACACATGAACAGTTAAATAGATAACTATAAAACAGGTTTATACGCGCGTTTTACTGTATAAATTGATAAAAAGATATATTCATATACTAAGTATTGTCGTTGATAATAACGAGTGTACAACGAAGCAATGAACTGAAGGTCATTATTGTGATGTTTAAATACCAATTTTCTCATTGCATCATTGTATAGAATAAGAAAAAATATATTTGTAGCATATAATAAAAAACCCTGAGATTTTTTATAACAATATGTTTTGCTAAGTCTAATTAATTTGATGATTTTATGGTTAGGTGATGATGATGTATTATAATCTGAAGAAGATTACTTTAATAAGGTAGTACTTATACTTTTTGCTTGCATTGATCACATTTGGTTTATACAATCAATTCTATGATCGGGAAATAAACACACCTAGTTTATAACACAAAATAATTTCTCTCGATACTCGAATCCAGAACTACCAAAGCGGATCGAACAAATCAAATAGCATAGATGTCTATCATCTATATAAGTTATCAAAGCGATCAAAACTGTCATTTAAATATCGTTTATTGAGTTATAACTCTTAGTTATAAAATTTCTCTTTTTACGTTATTAAATTAAATATAGCAAAGTTTGGCAATATACGTGATTGTACGCACACCTTTACAAGATGTCGATAGCATTGGATCCAGATAGCTGGACCTATTGGTCTGATAACACTGCACTTCGTACGCACTTGTCTATCACGCTCGCACGTTTTTCGCGTTTGATAAAAATAGATAAAAATAATAAAAGCCTTTTATTTCAGATACTTTACAGTTAAACACATTTTTATTTCTATAATTATTTTTAGATATCTGTATGCCTTTTTTTGATCTTTCTAGATCCAGTAAATATTAATGCAGCTTAAAATGTTTTTTTTTTTTAAAAGACAATTCACACCAATTGACCTAGTCCCATGCTAAGCTGGTGAAGCTTGTGTTATGGGTACTAGGCAACGGATATACATACATATTATAGATATATAGACATATAAATACATATTTAAACACCCAAGACCTAAGCACAACACCAAATGCTCATCACATCGATGTTTGTCTCAGCCGGGGATCGATCCCGGGACCCATGGATTCGCAGTCAGGGGTACTAACCACTAGACCAATGAGTCGTAATACATAATAATTTCAATACATTCGTAAAAACCACAGGCGTCTATTGAAAGGAGGAGGCCGTACATACCCTAGAATGAGCTAGCGTTTAGCGTGATGAGGGAAAGCCATTTTAGTAGGACAAGACTCGAAAAAAGACTATCATTACGAGCGTTATTAAATTAATTATTTATTAGATTAATTACGGGACGGGATTAGTAAAAGGAGACGATACTACTTTGTTCCGTTACCAGCTCCTTGTAGAACCGTGAAGAATGTGTACGATGCTTTAATTATCTGAAAAAAAAAAATCAAAAGCAGATGTTTAAGCATCCTCATTCCTTATTATCCAATAGCTCAACAGTTTGATTTCTTTAAAGATGCATTTCATGCTGGCATGATAATGCAACTTAAGTTGTTACGGTAACTGTAATAAATATGTTAATATGGAGTTGTGGGTAGATGAGTTTGTTTCTTGTAGCGGATAGCTGTATTGGCAAACATTTCTTTTCTTCTCATTTCTTCTTAGTGATAAGATAGGACAGGAAATTCTCATCTAATGTTAACAGGCATATATCACATCTGATCACTTACTTTGGTAATCTTAAGCTAAAAATATAAAAAATCGGTGAAAATTTGGATGCTGACCTGTAGGACTCCCAAATGGAAATAGGAATTGTGTTGCAAAAACAACATTTTATTTAAAGAAAACTGCATTAAACCATTATTTAATATACTTTCCCTTCGAGTGAAATTTCCATTGTTTAAGACTAGCTGAATAGCTGGCATTAAAAAAAATCCAAGTGGTTTTTTACCCCCATGAAAGTTTTCAATGAGAGGTTTACAAGCCCGCCAGCGCTTAGTATGACGGGGCAGCGTGTACGCGTCATCAACAAAACCAAAGCGCGGCGCATGCGCGGTGTACAGACCAACCATTTACTGACGTATGCCGCATCACAAACTGCCTCACTCTACAGAGAAGAGGATGAATATACATTAATATAATTAACAAACGTGTTGTAGGAGGATCCCCAACAAGATCAACCATTGACTGGCAGACTGGCCCGAAGGCCCCAAAGGCTAAGGTCGTGAAGTGCGTTTGAGCGTATGACATCATCGCAAGTGCGCAATCATAGATTGTAGGAGTCGCGACAGTTACGAATATATAAAAATAGTGTCTAAAATGATATTTAGCTGAATTTTATGTAATCAAGCATCAACACGATTAAATATAGTCCAATCAAATAAATTTTTAAATCACAATTTCGGCACTCAACTTTCCATTTTTAATATACTTAGGCCTACAACGCACTAGCGGCTGGCCGCGATGCGGTGTGCCGCTGCGGTAGGCCGCACATCGATTATTACATGAAACCGCACGATAACGACGCACTGATTTGCGGACAACCGTCAACCGCTCCGGTTGTTCTGGAGCTGCGACGAGCCGCACCGGTTGAATGATGCGGCGCGCCGCGTCCCCTCCACGCACTCGGTGCGGTTAGCCGCAAATACCGTGTCCGTCATCGCTTGTTCCTTGCGCTAGACACTACGCAGAGTTTTTTTGACGATATTTTCTACGATGATATAAATAAATAACTGCCGCAACTTCTTCAACGTCCATCATGACCGCAATAGAACCGCAATAGGACCGCAATAGGACCGCAATAGGACCGCAATAGGACCGTATATACCGCGGCCTACCGCAGCGGGGACACCGCATCGCGGCCAGCCGCTAGTGCTTTGTAGGCCTTAGTCTGGCCATAAATACTGTTACAAATAAAAATAAACAAAATTACATTTGAATTTTTAATCTGTCATTTTTATATGATTGTTCATTGAGTTTTCTTATTTTGGCGCCAATACATTGAACAATATTTTGCGATATTAAAATGGAGTGGGGTGATAAAGAGAACCGAATCGCTGTGATTGCATTACACAAAGTAGATACGCTTGGTATTACTAAAATATTTGTGTACCGGGCTATTAATAGGTACAATGAGACCTCCTCTGTTTGTGACAGAAAAAGATCTGGCCGTCCACGTAGTGTTCGTACGAAAAGGAGGTCAAAGCACAAAGTAAGGTAAAGAATTCGAAGAAATCCTGTCCGAAAGCGAAAGATTTTATCTCGGGAGATGAAGATAGCACCTGTCGCGTATTTTAAAAGATGACTTAGGACTTGTAGCCTATAACAGAAGTACTGGACATTTCTTAACTGATGATTTAAAAAAGAATAGGGTGGTAAAATCGAAACAACTACTGAAGCGGTACGCAAAGGGAGGTCACAGAATTTTGTTTTACAATTGAGCAAAATTTTAAAAAAATTACCGTATTTATGCTCAAACCTCTCAGGAAGCTTCCCAATTAGTCGACAGACTGCAACGTGGGCACTATCCGACTTCAGTGATGGTTTGGTGGGTATCAGTATTAGCTATGAAGGAGTGACAGAGCCATACTTTTGTGAGAAAGGTATCAAAGCATCGGCACAAGTGTATCAAGATACCATTCTTGAGAAGGTAGTGAAGCCCCTTAACACCATGTTCAATAACCAAGGATGGTTCTTCCAGCAAGACGGCGCCGGGTCATAAAGGTCGGTCTATGCAGTTGTTAGTAAACGAAAGAATTTTCCCATGGAAAGAGTGCGTGCTTCTATTGATAACTGGCCTCATCGTTTAAAGGACTGTATTGCAGCCAATGGACTAACTTTTTTAATAAACTTTTATATTTTAAATTGTTTTATATTTATGTATTAAACTAACACACTGTAAAAGTAATAAATGTTATTTGAAATAGATTTTTATTTAACTTTGTTTCGGTATTTATGGCAAGACTAGGTAATGCTTTTAATGACACGAAGACAATGTGAAAAAGTTTTAGTGTCTGCAACCCCCAGCAAGGCAAAAAGCGTAGTAGTCAAGTTATTTTTTCGAATCGATATATTTATATAAAACCCCCCCAAAAAACCCCCCCAAAAAAAAAAAAAAAAAAAAAAAAAAAAAAAAAAAAAAAAAAAAAAAACCCCCCCCGCCCCCCCCCCGCCCGGGGGGGGGGGAAAAAAAAACCCCCCCCCCCCCCCCAAAACCAAAAAAAAAAATCCAACAAAACCGGCCCGGGGGTTGGGGGGGGTTCCAGCCACATACACACGCACAGAAGAAATATATATATAGATTGTATGAAACACAACACTACATATCAAAAATTCAAAGTTTATTACCAAAAGGGTTATTTAAAAATTTATTCGTCTGAACTCATGATAAAACAGTGACAATATATTTAATAACAACTATGTTTGTTAAAATATTGTTGCCGGCCCGGCCTTCACACGTGTAAGTCACACCTCATTCACTAGCCCTAACACACACCAGACATTGATAAGAAATTACTATCTTACAACCTGTTATCCTGCCATTATTACGAAATTTTATGAATTTGAAATCTATAATTGGTTTTATCGTGCCATTTATCAGCCAATAACAAGGTATTTAATTAATTTAATCCAGTGGAAACTAGTACAAGATTTCACTAACGATTGAAAACTTTATACATTCACTAATAATCTTAAACAAAATCTCATCCTGTCCAATGCTGAAACGAAAATTGTTCTTATTGTGCAACACTTTTCGAACTCACACAGCGGTTTTCGCAGCGGCGGTTGCGCTCAAATCAGTCGTGCAGTCATTTTACGATTTGGCAATCTGATAAGGTCCCTCCTTGTAGTTTATTGTTTATCAGAATGCCAAATCGTAAAACGACTGCTGTAGAGAATCGTAGACTGTGAGTTACAGAATCGCAAGGCAGTAGTTTAAGGAGGAGGCTAGTGCACTTTCTTTTTTAACTAAACATCCTTTTTTATTATGTATAATAGAGTTTTTTCTTTCTATTTCATAAATTTGTATGACATACCTCGACTTGAATCTCGTTCCCTTGATAACAGTAAACGAACACTTGATACATCATCACGACCAAATAGAAAATCATTGACGCCGTACGGATAAAGTTTGCAGTTTCCTATAACATAAAAAGATTTCCGGTTTCAGCTCCAAAAACTTTAAAAATTATAATTATCAGTGATCGACTCAAAATGTTACTTAGCATTCCCTAACTACCACATGTCGACATATAACGATGAAACCCAATTTCTCTTAGTCTCTTAGTATAAATAGTTCTATGTGTGGCTAATGTTACAAACTTGAATTTACGTTGCTCGACAATGTAATATTGAAAGCAGAATTGCTGTTTAATTAACGTATCTTAATAGGCACTACATAGTTCAACCTTCAATATTAAAGAAGGATATGTTACTAAAGTGTTCCGCAGACCTGATTAACCTAAGTAATTTCTAATCTAGCAAGCGATTCTATGTTTGAGTAAACTTTTTATTATAAATTTATTCATATTCACAAAAGAAAGCTGGTATGCGGTTGCACATATAATAAACACGGAGACGGTGAACTGCGCTAGCACAGGCAAAGAGAAGCAGCGTTGCAAGATAACTGTCGCCTTTAGCGTCGTCTGGTGCTGCTGTATGCACTCCCTTAGACGGTCCCACGCTACCGGCTCTACTGACGGATGAAGGAGACCCTGGACAGTCAAGTTTAGTAAAGATATAAAAAATAATAATTTCCGCGGATTTAAAACATTCCTTGTAAGTAGGTTCTCCGTATAATAATATTGTATTAGTTAAATATACCGTAGTTTGTAATGGCAAGTCATCAAAGAGTGTTTGCAGTGATAGAGCCAGCAGTTGCAAGCGGCAGCAACAGAGCGCCACCAAGGATGTCACCACCGTGTCCACGCTGACATTTACAGTCGCCGACAGTCCCACTGCTACGCACTGCGAGTTAACAATTACTATAGCCAAAATCTAAACAGCGAGAATTTTGAGCCGAACTTACTAACTAATCTAAGATTTATAATAAAAGTAACAATTTCATAACTTAATAGGTTCGAAACAGAGACACGTCCGAAAACTTCCCTTTGGTAGTCACTTTCATGATCCGTATCAGTAAATTTGACATCTGTTTGTGATTTCTTTACTTTTGTATCAAATTCGTTTAATTATCAATTAATCAATCTCTTTGTAAAATTTTAACATAGATTGAATTTATTAAACAGATTTAAGCAATTTTTATTTACTTAACAAAATCGTTACGTTAAGAGGTACTCTTCAACATCCAATCATCTTATAAAAATACTTAAATAAAACTGTCGATTTATAGTACCTGATGAATGTATGTCAAATCATACGCAGGCGACTGAGTCGTGTCATAGGGGTACCTGTAATTGATGGGATAACTTATATAAAATTATAAGACCAAAATATAGTTTTTAATTTAAAGACAACACAATGAGATGAACCACTCAGGAAAAGAAGAGTAGGCCAAAAAGAAGGTGGGCTGATGATAGTAATAGCAGTAAAAGACTGGCAGACTATTGGCAAAGATAGAGTAAGAGGGGCTTTCATCTTTATCCACAGGTGACTAACATTTAGCTATGAATGTGAATACTAATAACATTTGAAATGGAACTTAAGGATATGGAAATAAAAACGGCTTTATTATTATTTCAAAACTAATATTTTACCATGCTCTCAAAGGAAGCTGATTTTTTTCCGCACTGGCAGCCCAGCCCACTACTGTGCCCGCAGATAATGCAATGTATGTGAACAATTGAAGTCTCGCCTGACGATTAAATCTAAAAAAATACTTCGTAAAAACACATAACCAACGTAAACATTTTACATAAATATAAAAACAACGTTTTAGCTAACCTTGCAATTATCTTCTTTCCACTCTCTCTCTTCTCACAAATTAATTCTTGTTCACAGTCATTGACAATGGTCCTGATCGTCTCCCTTTTTAACACTACATTAAATATCTGAAATAATAAACAATTATAAAAATGGCATATTAACTTATATCTTTACAGCCTTACAGTGGTCTCTTACACTTGTAAGGGCTGAAGCTGTTTCTTATTTCCCATGCAGGTCAAAAGTTTTGAAAGGAAACTACAGCCTAGAACTAAAAATACTGTTATCATTAACACACTGAACTGAAAAAAAATTTTTATGAACAAGGGGGGAAGGGGGCAGGGGGGGGGGAGGTGGAGAGGGGAAGGGCTTTTTTTTAAAAAGGGGTGGAAAAGGGGAGGAGGTCGCCCGGTTGTTGTGAAGTACCCGCCCCCGATGGTTACAAAAAGAGCGAGGCTCGCGAGTGCGTTGCCGGCCTTTTAAGAATTGGTACGCTCTTTTCTTGAAGGACCCATTCTCCCATGCCTGGTCTACGGGAACCAAACCTGGACGTTTACGGAAAGCGTGAAGTCAAAGGTGACTAGTGCCCAGAGAGCAATGGAGCGGAGTATCCTAAAAAAGATTCACAAAATACGAAGTGAACACATCAAAGTGGCCGAAACCTTAGATCACCGACGCGCTTATCCTTGCCTTACAGCCTAAAGAGAAATGAGCAGGCCGTATTTGCAAGGTGTACAGATAAAAGATGGACCGCCGAATCCACCCACTGTACCTTCTAATAGAAATCGATTTATAAATTTATTATTGAATATATCACTAAAGTAGTAATTATTAATAAAATAATTAAAGTATGATCATGAAAAAAAAATGTTATATTAGAGGGGAAGGTCCATTTTGTAACTTAAGTTTTATCAGGTAGCCATTTCTAAAAAAAGGAATACCAATAATAATAAATGGTGTTTAAATTCATTACATATTATATGCCATATTAGAAATTACTTATAATGGGTAATTCATTGTTAAGAATGTTCTGCTGGCGGAAGATTTTGATACCTCCAAGGAAAAGAAACGTGGTAACACCACAAAAGCTATGGGCTGACGACATCGTAAAGATATCTAGGTTGGAACGGATGTAGGAAGCAAACAACATATCCAAATCGGAAAGTTCTGGAAGAGGTCTTTACCCAAAAGGAGTCCATAAGTCCAACACGAAGTAATGGAAATAACAACAACTAACGTAGACCAAGCGCATAATAACAAAACTAACACCCATTTGATTTGTAATTTCTGTAAAGTTAAAGTATGGCATTAAAGAGGCTTTATTATTATTATTACTATAAGTTCATTGTACTTACTTTCAAGGAGAGCGATAAGTTAGTAAACAGAAGAAAAAACGCGGCCGTCATGAGCGGAATGTCACCCCAGACTTGAACGACCTCCCCGGCTTGCATCACGATATATGTACCTTTAATATTATGTGATGTAACACAAAATACATACAAGTACAAGTAATTTAGATGAATTAAACCGACTTCAAATACCTGTCAGCATTATTTACCTAGGTACCTATTATACATGCATCAACCGATTTTAATGAAACTGAAATACCTTATGGAGTCATCTGATATAGTTTACGAAAAATTTATAGCCAAACCTAAATAGATATTTATGATGATGTCATCATACTAAAAAAAATGAATTCCAGCAATGTCACACAGTTAAAATGGTCTACTATAAATGTGATTGTGAACGAGAGTTTCTAATTCCTGAATTGTAATAAACTATACTGCTTTTATCCTATCCCAAATTACAAGTAACAATAATTTGTATATGTACAAAAATAAACAATACCCAGAATAAACACATAAAACATAATGCAGTATACAGCGTATAGAGTTCCCCGAAACCCCGATAACGTATCAGGCTTGTAAAAACCAGATAATTGCAATACATTGAGTGAGAACTTTAGACCGTAGTAAGTGTGGTCAATGAAGAACTTCATTTTGCTTAGTTTGAGTATATCACGTACTCTACTTATATATTTCATAACCTGCTCATTTTAACAATATTGCCTATATCGATTGCAGATATGACAAACATTTTAATACACTAAAAATACTTTTAACTTTAAGCCACACGAGTATACGTAGCCGACGCATTTCTGATTTTATCTCGTGCTCGTAAAGAGTAATTGTTAAGGACCGATCTGGTTGCCAAACTCCAAAAAAGTACATTGTTTCTTTCCATTTTTCGTCATCATTTCTTGAAGGAGAAAAATGAAGAATATGGGTATTTCTAAGGAGTTTCATTCTAGGGAGAATGGAAAATAATGGTGGAGTTGAGTAGTTTATGTATCCATTTTAAAAGATCGATACACGATTTAAATAACTTCGCTTGATAGAAAAAAACTGCAAACTGCAATCGGCAAACTGAGTTGCCTTTTCTACGCATTTTTGTTAGAAAACAAAATCTATATCGGTGACTTTAATTATAACTCAAAGCCTTAATTTGTATAAAAATATCTAAAAATTACATGTGAATGATATAAATTTTTTCCTTATCCATATCAAGTTGTTCAAATTTATACATTAAAACCAAGAGTTTTTTCTTTTTCAAGAGTACCGGCTTTTTCTCTCGGCCTAAAACCTCTTTCTTCTTTGCCGAAGAGTAGGGATGTCTACCTATTCAAATTTAATGACGTGGAATAAGTGATACATTTTATATTCCACAATAAACATATTTTATTTAATAATTAATTTTTAATTTAATTTAACTTTTTTATACTCTTGTTCTTAATATTTAAGTGATCTTTTTATTTTGTTTTTTAAAGAAATTTTTATAATAATAAAAAATAACAGATCCAAGTTTGCAACTCATGTGTTTATTCAGTGATTACTGGTTATTAAAAGTTTCGTATAACACGGTAATTATCACCACACCGACACTTAAAACATACCAATTTAGGGACAAATTATAGCTTTACAGTATTTAACGGTAGGTTTATTTTGATTCTAATATAATACTAATTTCAACGTTAGATTGTCATGTTTTGATTTTCATAAAAGCAGTTCACACACTACAAAGAACAAGATATAAAATTTTTGTAAGCTTTTACTAATCCAAGTGCACCATTTATTAAAGTTATAATATTTTTATGTATCTTCGTCTACTTGTTTGAGGACAGTGAAGAAAGAATACGATGCTTTGCAAATCTGAAATCGTAAAGTATTATATCACTTAATGTTTTTATTCTTAAGCCTAAATAAAGTATTAATATGTACTCTATCAAGTATAGATTTTATTAGCTAAAATGGCACTTCGTAATGTTTAACCTTCGAAATACAAGTATAAAACGTTAATTTAAACTGATTTTATTATATTTAATATTTATTCATGGTAGTATTAAAAGAAAACTCACGCTCACAAAAGTAGCAAGAGAAAGAGTAGTAAATCCCCCAGCTGTGAGCTTGGCGGTCCGGCAACAGCGCGTCATGAGGATCAACGCGGACCTACGCACGCGCACGCTACACGCATACCATGGCCACTCGTACGCAGAACGTGACACGTTTTCACTCTACAATTATAAAAAAAAACATACAACATTTCGTCAATAATTTAAAATAAAGATTTTCTGTGTTAGATACCTCAATAGTAAGCTCGTTTCCTTCGCGACAGTAAAGGTATACTTGGTCCACCATATTTAGTAAATAAAACGTCATTGAAAGCATTCGAAGCATATTACCGGTTTGCTACAAGATAATTTGGAATATGGATTAATTATGAATAAAGTTTCTAGTCT